ATGTTAGAAAGAAACTATCCGTTGACAATGATGTTCCTAGTTCAATATGAACAGCTCGATAAATGGCACAATTAAACAATATGTGCAAATTTTAGATCCATTTCTTAAATGCAGGGGACCTTAAAGATCTACTCATACGACTTCTAAACCTAAAGCTTCTCAAGCACGATCTTCAGACAAAAATCCTGCAGATAATATTCACAGGTTTCGCACTGTGCCTTATAAAACAGAGCACGTCTTTATGATTTTCTTTGACTGTTTTTCTACTCTTCAAAATCCAATAGCCTTCTTGCAAGCTGACATTAAATACTGTACACCGGCATGGCCCGTTCCTCGTGTTTCCACATAATTAAGCTTTTTACAATGTGGTGATTGGAAGGTAATACTATAGGAAGTCTTAAAATTTCCTCATCTTTTCGCATAAAAACCTCTGTCTTCACTCTTAATAATCCTTTTGAATCGGTTATTGTTGACAGAGAATGTAGTTGTTTGCCCTCTTTTCCGAGTAAAAGTCTTCTTTTAAAATAATAGTTCTTGCTTATTCAATTTCCCCCGCCGTTAATGGCCCTTGGTTTTTCTCGATAGGTCATCTAGTATTCTTAAAAAAGCTATAAAACCATGCTATTAGCTTCTTAATTTTTATAAATTATCTTCTTGTATGAAGTTAATCGACAGAAGAAATCTATTTTTGCTTCATTTAAAGAAGATACTATAATGTTCTTCCTTTCTGAATTTACATTTTCTTCATTTGGCATCTGTTCGAAATTCGGCGTTCATCTCTTGAATATTTTAGCCAGGTGGGACCTTCCTACCATTTTCCTTCACACAGTTTTTTCGCCGAAGATCCTCGAGGTGGAAGATCGACCGGAATTTGTTCTCGTAGTACACAGCTCCATTGATCGGTTGATGTCAAACTTCTAATTTCTGTCACCCTTATTACAAATACGCCTCAATTACCCTTCTTCTTGATCAATTAGAGGGCATCCACTAAATCAGATCAGAAGAATGTTTTTATGTTGTCTGATTTCAAATTCTTTCTAACCGTCTATCATCTAGCACCGATATTGCGAGCAAGCAATTCTAATCGGTTTATACTTCCTTTTTTAAGAGTAACAACCCTCAATTTTGCTTGTACTAGCTGACAAGTCGCTGCAGTTTTTGTTTTCACCATAAAAAAAAAAGTTGCATATGATGATTGTTATGCGTCGCAAAATAGACGCAATAATAAATTTTTGTGTCAAAGTTCTCGCACGTAAATGGACGTTCAAAAAGTTGAATAAATCGTCAACTTTATATTTGGAGTTTCCAGTTTCTTTATTAAATTCAAAAACTAAATCTGAGATTAATTATTTTAATATCACGAAGAATAACAAATTTTCATAAATGTCTGAAAAAATTCCAAGAGATATTTCAAACTATTTGCGTCTGACAATTACCTAGTAACTTTCTTAAAGCTTCTGACATCGTTAAAACGTTTAAGAGGGGAAATACTTAACACGTTACTCATGTGAATATTTATCAAAACATCTTTTTTTCTAAATCGCTCAGTTAATAATTTGACAGCTTTATAACAACCATTAATAAAATTTATTACGGAGCCGCATAAATGAACCTTCAGATAATTAAATTTAGCAATTTTCGTTATTGACTCGTTTTAATATACCGCAGATTCATATGAGCTCCAAAATGCGAGCTACTGACTAGTATCGCTATAAAATTTATTAATCGTGAGCTTAAGATAAGCAGTTTTTTTAGAAACAATGTTCACTCAGAGAAGTGTTTTCTTTTAAATTTTAAGAACATTTCAAAGGTAAATTAATCAATAAATTTTGACTTTTAATCTCACTAATTTTCTTGTTAGCTCTAAATTTGCATAAAATTATCTTATCTAAATAATCATCAACATTTCCTAAGTGAGATTCTATTTCTTCCGGCTTCCAACAGACTTTAAAATATCGATCTTATAGTTCAGCAGTTTTAAATTTTCTTCCAATTAATTTTATCTTCGAAAAGATCAGATTCTGTCTTATGAAGAATTTTAGTAACTTTTAATCTGGATGCATTGCGTTTCATTTTCAATATAATTGAATAATTTCTTCACTCATTTTCAATATAACTGAATAATTTCTTCCCTCATTCTTTACTGACCAAAATGCTTCAAAATATTCGATACTTAACCCATATATTCCATGAACACCTTAGCTTTTTAAATAACAGCAAAATAATATCACACCATCCCGGCAGAGATGAAAAATGTTCCAAAATGTTCAATAAAGGAATGATGAACACTCACTTTGAAGTTTCTTCTACAGTTTCTATATAAACGAGTCCGCAGATGGCGAATATCTTCTTTGCTTAAATCTAAAATTCATTAGAATTCGCGACAGTGATCTAATATTTCCAAACATATATAATAAAGCATTAAAGTTACAAGCATATTTTACAGAGCTTTACAAAATATACTACGGCTACAATTTGAAATTTCCGCCCAGTCCGTTACAGTCACATTACACATGTAGAAGAACGTTCGCGATAGTCTCAGTTCTGACTGCCTGCTGACTACTGATTTTTACAAATCTCTAATCAACTAATTAAGTAACAGCTTTTAGTAAAAAATCACATGCAGATACAATATCTTAGGTCTTTTAACAAGCATGGCATATCTTGATGCTTTGCCTGAAAGAAAAAGTGGTTGCAAAATTTGAGATAGTTTGAAAAAATTGCTGAAATCACAGTTTTCTGCTAAACATTTTCGATTTTATTTTCTACGCGAAGTCCACAGGCACTCCCGAAATATTTAGCTTCATTTTTAAAATTTAATACATAGTGAAATGGCCCAAAAAAGTGCGAAATGTGTAGAATATGGCTTGCTTTGGGGAGCATAAAAAATTTTGAAACTCCTAACAGACGTAAATCGAATTAGGTGTATCTGAAATAACTACAGAGACTTGAAAAGGTTTAAAGAACGTTTTATTAAAACAGAACTTTGAACATAAACGCACTTCTTGTGCTAACAAAATCAGCCACCACTTGTGGCGATGTAACTAAAGTAACAATCAAATTCAAGTTTAACGCAGACTAGTCGTCAAAAACTATAAAAACCTCAGTTTAAATACTCTCTAACTCCGCAGAACTAACTCAGTTTACATTCTGGTGAGGAAACGGAAAGGAAAAGTAATAGCAAAAGCTGAAGTTATAAATCATTGTATAATTATCACAAATGTTTTCATAAACTAGAGATAAAGGTATGAAGACATAATATATGAATAAAGAATTCCGATATGTATCTGGCAAGGAAGGATTATATGCAGGAGTAATCTGTAAAATTAGAAGTGCCGAAAAACTGAAAACCATGAGAAATTTTGAGCAAAAATAAATAAAAGAATTAATAATAATAATAAAAAAAAACCTCTGAAAGCTTTCAGATTTTATTCTACGCGCCAAAGGGGCTTTTTTTTTTTTTTTTTTTTTTTTTTTTTTAAATTTACTACAAATACATGTTTCGAAAGCATTTGGTTAACGCCGCCCCTTTGGACTAAAAATGTTTAAAAACAGCATATCTTTAAAATTTTCGATATATAGTCCGCGCGCTGGAGATAAAAATGTTTACATCCGTACAGTGTTGCCACTGCTCGCTTTGAAATCGCAGAGTTTTTAATCAAAAATTCGTTAAAGTTTTACTAACTATGCAATAGATAATAAAACAAATCCGAAATTAAAAATTCGAGCTTCCAGGTGCCCATATTGGGGTGGACGACTACATTATTCAAAATTTCATGGCTACAGGTACCTTTTTTTCCCCAAAATGCGAGAAACATACATACATTCATGCATATTCTTCATTATTTAGTTTCATTAAATATAATACAGGGCGATAATATTTGATGGCAAAAATTTGAAGCGTGATTATCGCTTTCTGTGATTCGAAGCAAAATGCCGTTTCGGGACTAATAGCCCTTCTGGAATAACGGCCCTTTGAGCTAATAATTAATGAGTAGAGTAAATATAAGGGAGTACGTTAATATATTAGCACTTAAATGAAATTTTTTTCCAATATTAAAATCAGTTTTAAAGACAAGTACTGAAGCTCATCTTATTTGTCACCGACAGGAAGTAAGATTTCGTGCGAAAACTGAGGAGTCCGAAACGGTCCTTTTGTTGAATTTATGCCCAGATTATACGCCGATGCTCATGTCTCTGACTAAAGAAGGGCCTATTTCATATAAGCCAAAATAATCATTTAAACATACTGACAAAGAGACTAACTTCCTATTATATCAATGTTCTCTGCCCAGAGCATAAAAATTTCTCTATTTAGTCTTGCATTTAAAGATTAATAAACATAACATTCCACATAGATAACAACAACAGAATAAGAGACTCTTAGACACAGTAAGAAACTCTTTCTTATTGCAAACTTATTTTTAGATAGAACATTAACGACAAAATCATTCTTGACGGCATTGCGCTCTGAATTTTTCTAAGAACTGAAAGGAAAGTTGAAGAATTTATTAGACACTTTTCGGAACGAGAAACACGACAAATCAGTTGTGATTCGAACTACGGATCTTCCAACTACCAGCCGGACGTGCTACCAGTTACACAGGACAGCATTAATGGGTAAAAATTCCTTACAAAGTTAGTCGTCAAAAATAATTATTCAGGTTAAATGCTTTTTGACTACTGTAAGTAACAGATAAGTTTAATTTTTACCTCAAAACTTTAAATTGAAGAATAATAGATCAGACTTTCTCTTATTTCAAAATGCTTGCTGCATTTTTTTAAGATAAATATACATTAATATTTAAATAACACAGTAAAGAATAAGTAGGTAGAATTTTAATTAAAAGTTCCTTATAGTCTCATCTAAATTTATCCAACAAAATCAATTCTAGATATAACATATTAATAAAAGTGAAATATAGTTATTTAGAACTAGTAATGCAATTTACATGTAGGATTAAGTACGTCACAGACATAAAACTATTTGAATTTCTTACTGTTGTCATCAAACCGCGAGCAACCATTCGCTGTTTGAGATTGCTCTCGCCATCTATATTGGCAGTTTCAATGTAGCATAAACCTTGATCATCGGAGCACCTCAGGAGTAACATGTCAGCTGGAATGACTTCATTACATGACAAATGAACGACATCACCCACCTTCACATGTTTCCAGAGGGTCTTCACATAACGCCCATCCTTCCTGGATAAAACACAAAGAAAAATAAGTGAGATTTTGAACTTTGTACGAATTAAAAATACAAAACATTTACAGTGCAATTTCACATTCTTTGTTATAAAACTTTATTGGAAAGTTAAATGATTTCTAGAATATCAGAAACAAAAATTAACAACACACATATCAAAATAAGCGCCTAGAAAATTGCCCCGAAACTTAATATGCAAATACCTGCTACCCATTCATACAAACAATAAAAAACTCATAGATTAAGAAAGCACAGGAACGATTCTAAAATTATATGCATATACAATAACTGAAATGTTATTAATCGAAATCATTTCTGTTTGCATCAGAAAACAATGCCCACTTAACTGTACAACCAACTTGAAAAAAATCCGAAACAAGTTGCATTATGGCCTTCATGGTACCTGATTGGTCATAGCAAAGAAATATTCTGCCCCAATCAATACAGTCAGACAATGCTGTTGTTATTAGCAATAGGATGGCCATAAACTCAAGAAACTAATGGTAGGTCTAGAATGACAATGTCTACGGAAGTCTTATAATATTGTGAACTGTTATAAATTACCAACAGTTTTGCTAACTGCCAATAAGAACTGTTTACTGAACACATGGATCTGTAGTGTCATAAAGGCAGGCAAAAACTGCTCTTCATTTTCGGCGTCCGTTGCGACATCAATAGTAATGTTTACTCGCAGCTTTGAAGGTTAGAATGCCGTAGCGGATAAACAATCACGGTTTTCATTTGCTTAGGATGACAGAATAATTCACGTGCGGATAACTGCTGGCTAACGTTGCTCACTCCATGTCACTGTGGAGCAGCATATGTCCATCACGTCTAGCATCACCACTTCGGAAGCTGATGCCTCTGATAACCTAATTAAATTACGCGATCTTCCAACGATTTTAACGGCCCCACATTATGCTATAGTGTGGCGCCATGACAAGCTTTTAACTTAACGGCTCAACAACGAAATCTTGTTAATGCCTTTGTAGAAAATAATCCTTAATCAAGCTAATGCTTATTAGCTCACATTAAATGTTTTCAATAAATACCTGTATATTAACACAACTCTCTCGTGGCTTTGTACAGACATTAGGATTTTTTGAAGCAGAAGAAATAAAAAATGAGCAATGCTCTCGCTGGGACTCGAACCTCGACCTCTCGAATACGCGCCGAGTGTGCTAACCGTTACACCACGAAGACACGCAGAAAGGAGGGAGAAAAATACCTTATAGCCCGTGAGGCCACAAAACCTTTCAACCAACTTGAGCTTTCATTGGATTATGCTATGAAACCGATTCAGCCAACTCGTAATAAGCGAGAGGTTGTTAATGGATTCACAAAAGACGTAGCAGCAAATTATGCAGATGATGCTTGTATGCATCTCTGGCAAACAAAATATCCTCATGCATTGCAACGAGAAGCGCTATACATTATAGTAATATGTTATGTTTCTGGAACTATGTTTGCCAGATAAATGGGTAGACTGCAATTCAATTCCAGTCATCCATATAAAGGGATATCTTTGGCTCCTGAATATTCATGCCATGATCATGTCAAACAACTTTTTTTTTAAATGCGGACAGATTCTTATTTTCGGGGTAGGGGGCTTGATTTGTTTTACGTCCAAATTATTTCTTTCTAATAAAGCCATTACGTAAGAGCCATTTAAAAGTATCTTAATCTAAACTTTTTTTAATTACTTTGTTTTATATAAAATGTCCCATTGTGGCGATACTGTGATATGATTCTCCAATAGTGTGACATCTAGAACAAAATTTGACAGCCTAATAGGACGGCAACCTATTGTAATATAGGAAGGAAACTGGAAAGAAGGAGTGCAAACAGATTCATAAAACTGGCTTTGTGAAGGGATTATTGTGTCGTTTTCTTACACCTTTGTATTTGTCGTTTGTATTAAATGTTTTGTGATTTAATTTTATTTACTTATGTTCTTTAATTTAAGATAAACATCAACTAGACCCAGAGGTTTTCGATGCGTTGAGTGAGATGGAATTTCAGGGGAAAAAAAAAAAAAAAGAGTGTGGTTAAATGTCCTTGACTGTTAAATGTGACCATTACAAGGGTCACTCAAGGATACCTACTATATTTCCTCACTAATAAATGCTTAGTTAATATTTAATTAGTATTTGCAACTCTTAAAAAAGTTACAAAACAAGTCGCGGGACGGCCTTCAGGGTAGCGTACTGCCCATGTCCATATCAGCGAAATACCCAGTCCCGACCGATACAATCAGGCAATGTTGTTCTTATCACTGATTCCAGTGTTATTATAAACTCATGCAAGTAATTGTAAGTCCTCTTGGAAAGATGTATAAGAGTATGAAATGTTATAAGACTGTTGACAGGTACAGGTAGAAACTAGGCCAGCACCTCTGTAATACACAGGTGACTGAGATATTGCTGAACCTAGCTAACTGTTGAAACTGTGGACAGCTTTGGCACTGACAGAGCCACTTATATTTCTTTGATGTGACACGAATAATAATGATTACTATAGTGTTACAACCTCGAAGGCTGGACTTTTGGTGCTCCATGCTCCAATGTATTAGTCACGATTTTAATTTGTTTCGGATGATAGAATAATTAGTAGATCAGGAGTCGAAGGAGTGAAGTGATAACACACCTATACTTCGACCTCAACGATAGATAATCATTTCAGATCTCGTTCGTTAATACCAGAAACACTGGGATGGATACAAATCACAACAAGTGTTTCCTTCCAAAATAACTTTTACCGCCATTCATTTATATATTGTTACGTTTCTTTCCAGAAGACATCGTGCCACCGTGGAAAAGCAAAAGATTTAAAAAAAATTAATTAAAAAAAAAAAAAAACTGTTAAAAGAAATGAATAAATCTGATAGGATCAGATTCTAGTTTCAGTCGTCTAGATTCTAGGGTTAAGTGTGTGCAACCCTGAGTTCACGACTTTGCTTGACTCTGTAAGCATTTGCCCATTTATTACAGTCTTCGAAATTTTCTACTAATATTAGTTATTTCTCGTTTCAATGCATGTTTTGTGCTAATTCCACTTCAATTTTAACATTTTTTAATTAGCAATGTAAAATAAATTTCCCTTAAAAATGTATATTTAATTACAATCTTTAACTCCTTATCTCATTTATATGGCGGCTTAGGGGTGTCCAGGGGGGAAACCCTTTAGTTTGACACAATTGGTCACATTCACGAAAAAGTTAGCGATATACCATTCTACCGAAAATGGTTAATCATAACCCAAATTTAACTGAATCTCCATAGCCAAAGCTGGCGGGAAGGGGCGGGCAGCGACTGTTACAGTAATTTGACTCTGTATTCAGAACATTACGCCCATTAATATACATCTACAAAATGCTAGCAATGGAAAACAGACTTAGTTGGAAATATTAGTATTTTGTAAACATACCTCCTATTTACATGCGCGGAAACGTATTTTGCAAGTTTTACGATGACTAAAGCCAGCTATCAACTTTGGACTAAATCTCAAATTCTAGGGCATCTGACAAATAGCAGATAAAACGTCGCGTATAGCTCCTAGAGGCACAATTCCTTTTTTGGCATTACTCCGATTTAAACATTTATTTATCAAAACAAAAATAGCTCGAAAGCCTTATTAAAAAAGACAGGGAAGCCTTTTAAATGTCACAGAGTATAAGTTTGTTGATTTTTTTAGCAATTTAAAACAAATACTAACGTCATGAATCAAATATTGGAGAAAAATTAACATATTTCTGGCGAACCTATAGAATTTGTGAAAATTCAAGTTGAATGGAGGAGTCTAAAGCAATATTCTTGATATAATATTCTTTTACATTGCTCACGTAATTCAGAATGATGAAGAAAATAAAGTACTTGAGAACAGACAGTAATTAGGATGCATAAACTATAAAAATATATTTAAAAACCTCGCTAATACCCCTTTATGTTGAAGTTTTTAATTTCGCTTTTGGGGATTATCTGAGGTTTGGGAAACCCACTAGTGGCCGAGCGGATAAAATTGCTGAGCACTGGTAGTTACACTTAGGCTCAAATCTCGCGAAAGGGCTAGTTGTATGGGTATTTTCGTAGTTTTTCTTATACACAACATGAGTGAAAGCCACTTTCCTACAAAAATCCTCCATGTAGGCATCCCTCCCTTTAAATGCTTGAGTGCTTTTCATTAATCAATTAACTTAACCTATATCAAAGTTTTGAAAGAGTAATAGCGAGATAAACGTATTTCTTCCATTCATAACACCAGGTGTCTTATTTTATTCCTGCTTCTCTTGACAAAAGAATAATTTACATTTTTCTTATCAAATTTTTCACTTTTATAATTGCACGTTTTTTCTTTTTTCCATCATATGTACATCCCTTAATGATTCCTAAATTAATGACTGCTTCATTTGACTTTCTTAGTTCTATTTTCTTTTCCACATGCATGGTAATTTTGAATAACTGAAAAATTTAATCGGTTTATGCTGTGAGATAAGTCCAAACAGTTTTTTGATATAAGCATTTCTCTATTTACTTCGTTCATATCTTTATATTATATGTCTAAGTATAGAAGTAAACAAAATGAAAGATAGGGCGCACTCATTGTAGTTTGAATATCAAAAACAATTAATATAAATTTTAAACTAAATAACAAAATACATTTTCTTATTTCTCTACTATATTAATTTTTACAAAATAAAAATTATAAATAATAACCGTGAAAACTGTTAATTATTTTAAGTGGACACGGGGCTAATTAATTGAGAAGCCTAATATACTGGAAAAATGATGCAAGGAAAAATTTACGCCTAGAATGATTACTAATGTTAATAAAGTAAAGTAAAAAACCAAGCAAAAACATAAAAAAAAAAAAATTAACGGTCGTTTAAAAGGGTTTCTTACCGTTTCGATAAGTGCCTTAAAGCGCACACACATTGTTAGATGCCATACATTTTTTTTTTTTTTTTCCCAGTCTTATCTCAGTTTATCATATCAATGTTCAGTTCTTACTATGATGGCTTTTGACAAAACTTTTTTTTTTGGTCTTTTTATTATTAACGTTTTGTGTGATTATTTTATTTATTAAATATCACATTTTTGGTGCTCATGCCACATGAAATTCGATTCATAGCAAAATCACAAAATAATTAAAAACAGCATATCTTTAAAATTTCCGACAGTCTCGCGCGTAGGAGATAAATTTTCTTTTCCAACCGTACAGAGTTACCACTGCTCGCTTTGAAATTGTTGAGTTTGTTAATCAAAAATTCCTTAAAGTTTTATAAAATAGGAATTAGATAATAAAACAAATTCGAAGTTCAAAATTCGGGCTTCCAGGTGCCCATGTTCGGGGGGGGGGAGGACTATGTTTTTCAAATTTGATGGCTCTAGTATCGCTGTTTTTTTTACAACGCGAGAAACATGCATACATTCATTATTTAATATCTTTAAATATAATAAAAGGGCGATAACATTTGGTAGCAACAATCCGAAAAGTGATACGCTGTTTATAATGATTTAACTGAAAATGCAGTTTCGAGACTGATATCCCATTCGGGACTAACGTCCCTTTTGAGCTAATAAATTCAAACAAAGAAACATACTTAAAATGTTTAATTTTTTTCCTTGTTACGGCCTTTTATTGCCTTTTTATAGCAAAATGATCGTTATTCGCTTTGAGGCGTTTCCTTCAAATTTTTAAAAGCAATTTGATACATTGCATTGATTTTAGAAGCTTCTTTTAATTAATGACAACTAACACGAGTAAACTTTTTCAACATTTTAATAGAACTAAAGATTATTTAAAATACAACAGAAAATTTACGTTTTACTAAGCTTTAGAAAAAAAAACATACGATGAAGAGTCAAAAAATGTATCTTGTTTAAGCGGACGCTAAATTCTGGATTTCTGCATATTATTAAATTTGCAATTAAAAAGCACTAGAATATTTTCAACCAAACATAAATTCATAGTAAAAGATTTCTTGTATGTAACGTAGGATCGAAAGGAAATCGGAACAAAAACTTAATACAGAACAATGGACAGGGAGAAAAAAGAAATTTCCGAACGATTTGGGGAATTAAGGAAAATCTTGACGTCCATTCACAACACTGACATTATGTGACGTACTCATACTTCGTTTCCGCTTTAGCAGATTAAACAAAAGACATGTAAAACAGGCGTCTTCATTTCCATTTACAAATGCGGCATCGACAGGAAATCCGCCGCAGATCAAAGGACCGCGTTGCGATAGAACAGCACGCTTAACGCCTATTAAATTCTGAACTCCGACATCGCATCTTCCTCGTAACTCTGCGGAAATATCAAGTTCTCGTGCGGCAAGGTTGCAAAACCGTTAGATCGGTATTGCATTCGAATGAGAATACAGCATGCTTTGAATAAAAAGAAAATTAATTTTTTCGCTGTACAAAAAATTTTGCCAGAAGTAAGAATCCACCTTTCCGAATTCCAGAAGCCAGTACTGTTTTCATTCTGACGTTAATTTACCACCTGACACAGTTTTAAAAGAAGGCTTTCACTTCCAGCGAAATTAAAGGAAAATTAGTGATCATGATCTTTTCATCATCATGAAAAACATGATCTTTTCAACTTCATTAAAACTAAGCTTTAAAAAAAAAAAAAAAAAAAAAAAAAAATTAATCTAATAAATTAAGTGTCTGCAAATCTCAATGCAAATTTCCTAAAACAACTGATTAACTTTAAATTAATAATCAATTAATGTAAAACCAATTTAATTACATCTGAAAAACATACATCAACGATTACAAATTCCCTGAATTCTTAAGAATTATAGGCCAAATTAATCTGCATCTTAATATGAAATACTAAAAGTTGGCATTAATCAATTAATCCCTTAATTAAAAATTTAAGACACTCAAACTGAAATCCATCTTTATTCTTTCAAAATAATTTTGCCATTTCGCTTCGATGCATAAATGCTTTGCTTTTGACAACAGTTCAAAGCTCTCGGAAACATCTTCTACAATAACACAGTTTTATGAATTTGACACCAGACATTATAATGCAGCAATGTCTTTAAATTAATGTGCAATATCGCACGTAGTACGAAATAAGCAACGAGAAATATCAAAATGATAGGGTAATGTAGATTGTGACTACATAGCAACAATTTTGTTAAAGTTCTTTCGGTCCGACATAATTATATAAAACTCAGAAAGGCTGATCAGTTTGTAGATCTTAACTGAAAACGATTTGGGAAACTTTCACCTTTTTCTTGCTTCCAATTATTTAATTACAACAAAGGTTTCTACACCCATCTTTAACATGGCTTTTGTGAGACCAAAACTTGTGAAAAGAAAACTGCAGTTTATGTCAGGTTTATCATTCTTGTAACGAAGCATATTAATTAGGTAAACTTGGGGGGGGGGGGAAGGTGAATTTATAGAAGCTCCATCCCATTTTTACTCTCGAGTTAACATAAAATGAGTGTTCTACCATTGGCTCCATTAGGATTCCCCTGTCACTTTTCTCTCAATATATTTTAATCCAGTCTTTTAAAATATGTACTTACTACATGTGAACAATTAGCTGAAGACAAACAGAAGGGCTAATTCGATACACAACAATTACAGAAGCCTGTCTTTAAACCTAGCCTTTTACCATTTTATGACTCGACTCTGCAGAAGATTACAGCAACTGTGGAAAATTCGAATGTTAGCAGTAGACTATAATGTTGAATAATCCCAAAAAATTAAATGTTTGAAATGTAAATATGAAATTCGTATTTATTAGCCACGATTTGTATAGTTACAATACTAACTCCGTACTTTAACATTTATAACAAACGCTACACTTCACTCTCGTAATTATTGAGATATATATGAAAATAATTTAGAATTCTTAGTAAATAATTGGAAAATAATTGTACGGCGAATGTCCGAAGTTTTAAGATAAGTTTAATAGAGATTGACTGCATCTAAATTTACATGCAGTGATTTTGAGTAATTCTATCCTAAAAAATATTCGATCTAGTTATTACAAACAAATGAACTACAGCAGTGGTCTCAAATTCAAATACATGCGGGCCGCGAATGCACGATCTGAAAACAGCTGACGGGACAGAATCGTATTTTTTCCTCTTTTTAATTAAAAAGACTAAAAATTTTATTAACAAAACAAAAACTATTTTAAATAAGTTTTAAATTTCCCTTACTAAATATTTTTCAAAACATGCATAAACAATAATAATCATACTGCAAAGGGAAAAAATTCAAATTTATATTTATTTTCTACCTGAACGCTAAAGTTAAGTAACCTGTAAGACATTTTTGATGGTTACACTTTGTAATTCAAATAGACAGACAGCTAAATATTAAATTCTTAGACTGACATTTTTTCAAATATTTAATGATTAAATATCTAACTTTAAACTAAAATCACAGAAATTAGGGAAACTTCATAAAAAATAATAGCAACATACTCTCTTTCTCTTATTTATTAAATTTTCCTTCGATGCATAAATGGAAGTACATGTTCGTACGTAAACAATTTTAAATTTCTTTATTTATTACTATAGCTTGATACTTGATGGCATGTCGATCTGAATTTTGTAGGGCTGTTGGAAAGGGCGTTAAGCGTTTGTAGGGCTTTAAGCGTTAGAGAGAAATTACTAGAATTTATCTTCATCACAGATTGCAGATGTTCATTGATCAATCGAGTTCATTTCTTAGTAATTTTCAACTGTGAAAAAAAGCTGTTCACGTATAGCTATAATTCCAAACAAAGCGATTATTCTTAGCTCTCAATTCTTAAATAAGCATATTTATGTTTTGGCAAGTACGAAAGAAAATTAATAAAATCTGTTACCTCCTAATCTTTGAGTTAGATTTGTATCACACTGTAAATTAATTAGCTCTATTTACAGATTTTTTAGAGCTAATCATGTTTATTTTCAATGAAATGAAAATAAATTCAAACTTAGTAACTAAAATATTGAAATATTATAACACCGTATTTGCAAAAAATACATAACTGAAATGCCTTCGCGGGCAGCATAAAGTTGCTTTGGGAGCAGCCAGTTTGAGAGCACTGATCTAAGAATTCAGCATCAAACATCAAAACAAATCGAAGGAAGAATGTTCTTTTCGCACTGGTGCCACTTAAATATATTCTAAATCTAGTCCGCTTCTACGACTTTTTTTGTTGCCATTCAAAATGGAAAAAGAAAATGTTTATCAAAATGGAACAACAATAACAATAATATTAGATTCTAAATAATACTAGAGCATTTACAAGAAAATGTCATTTTCGCATAAAAATGCTAAAATATTGATTACAAGTTTTATTAGAAGTAACTTATAATAAGGTATCAGCAATATGTTTAACAGTATTAATTTATCAGAGTTAAAATTATTTCAACATGTTGAATAATTTAAAGAAATATAAGAATTTCACAAAAATGTTTTTGATTCTGAAAATAACTGCTTAGTTGTCAAACACGAAGTATACACTACAGAAGTCTTATTTTCGATATCTTTAAGACATTTATTTTACATGAATAATTAATATTACACAAAATATTTTTATAATACATTGTCGTTTTACTCATGGAAATAATATTTGTTAATAAAATAAGAAAGCTTATCAAATCAAATGTGCTTTTAAAGAAGGGAAATTTTCTTAAATAAGTAGTTTACTAATTAACATAAATGAGCCCTATTTTAACGAATTTTGTAATTTAATAATTTTTTTTTATCTTTCCAACAAATATCTAATTAAATCTCCTCTTATTACTTCACCTTAAATTTAACGAACTGCCAAAAAATTGCATACTTGTTTTTCAACTTCCCTGTGCGATAATTTTATTTTACTGTATTAATTTAAAGTAATTTTATTGTAAACAGACCTTGGTCATATGAAAGAAGGAATGAATCTCGCTTTTAAAGACCATAGCTAAAAAGGTTTTTTTTTTCATCACTAAATCGTGCAGATGAATTGATTTTGATCCACCAAATTGTGCAAGTGAGTTATAGTTACTGAGGATGAAAATTCTGTAATTTAAATGAAATTCAGAAAACCTTTTAAACAGTTATTTACTGTGTAAAATTCCTTCATAATACTTTTACACATGAAAATTTCATCATAATATTTTGCATATGAAATATCCTGCATTAATACATTTTCTTCTTATAGACATGAACATTACGGTGTCCGTATTATGCAGCCTTTATTTTCGCAACCGTTCGTCGCAGACATATACGTCCTCTTACGAAAATGTTTTAATGACACACAATATTTTAAACGCAAAAATTAAACTTGTAAAAAGTACAAAAGCTAACCTTTAATACGCCTATCTGGTGCCTTTTATGTCTACGGATTAACTTCATCGAAAGTTGTCATAGTAACGATAAGTTTAGAACAACAAATTTCGGTGCTACTTTGGTAGACGGTTGCACGGATTTTGGCGATTTCTTGGAGATTTTCCTTTGGCGAGTATACAACTTATAGTAAACCCATTGCTGGATAAGTTATTTATGGTAACCGATACTTTGTTGTCATTTTATTTTAAAAATAATGCGTTTTATTGTGCATCAATTCCGTGTTTAAAATATTATTTATGGCTTTTAAATATTAAAAATCAATTTAATTTTGAATTTTTATTTGAAATAAAAATTTTATTGTTTATCATATTTTATGAAATTTTATGTTGTGGATGATGTAATCAATGACGTCGCCTTACTTTAAAAGTAATTCGTTTTTAATATGTATACATTTAATCTAATGTTTTAAACATTATTTATGGCTGTTAAATATTAAAATACAATTTAATTTTGCATTTTTTTTAAAAAATGATTTTATTATGTATGAATTTTTAAATAATTTTAATTCTAGCCGTGATGTAGTAAGTTCTCTGATTGGTTATAGAATATTTGTGCATTAACGAGCTGTAATCAGCTCCCTGATTGGTTACTGACAATTTGTGCATTTCCGCGCCGTTTTAAAATTTAATTCATATCTTCGAATTCCTTCAAAGATATTATCTAAATTATGATTTTGATTTTTTGTGGTACTTATCAATAAACAACAGGATAAATACTCAAAAAAAAAATGTAAGTACATATTTTTCTTTTATTTTATAATTGTATACTTCAATTTTTGTTAAAAAAAATTAATACACTATTTTCAGAAATTTCTGAGATAATTATTGTCCATATGTTTTAATGTTAATTATATTCTATATAACGTATTTTAAAGTATTTGAATTTAATAATATTCTAATTCTTTTAAATGTTGGTATGATGGTTTTTAATTCGATATTCAATTTCAGTAATATTTTAATCTAATTAAACGTTGGCCCAATGTTTTTATAGCGGTGTTTTTATTCTCTTCTTTGCTATATGAAAGTAATAATCTTACTTTAGTATTTTATACTCATAGTAAATGTATTTATTTACACTTGCCTGCCATCTTAAAAAACGAGATTTTCAACAAAAAATTTATCCATTACTTTTAACGATATTTATTTTTTTTAAAGTTTCGAATACTATACTATGCGTAAAAACAGCGTTTCCAAGATGGCTGACGTTTGTAGAAACCGCGCCAACAATTGCGCCAACGTAAAATCGCCAAAAATCCGTGCAACCGTCTACCAAAGTAGCACCCAAATTTCTATTATATTTGACCTTTGGAGATTGCATCGTCATAATATGTTTCCTTTATGTAATATTTTCAACTTATAAATAAATGAATACATTTCTAAATATTTATCGAGTCATAAACTGGAGAACTGATCTCACATTCCAAACTCTCTATATTAAACAAAAGTTTATATACATTATAAAAAAAATCTGATGTGGACACCACATGACTTCCTTATACGGAATATTCAATTATACGCATTTTTCTTCTTGAATTTCATTTAAATTGATTGGATTTAATTAGATCTACTTCGTCGACAGCGCATAAACCACAATAGAATAAATGCACTCTTTAAAATTCACTATATTTGTTTACTATAACGATACTCTGAATGCACAAAATTTATATCATTTGAAGAATTATCTTATCGTTGCCACATGTTTTATTCGAATACTATTATAAAGCTAGAACGATGTATGAAAGAAATTAAGCAAACAAAACAGAAAAGAAACAGTTTTTCACAGACGATTTAGTATTTCTCATTCAATTAATTCAGTTCTCACTTCGCGACAAGGCAAAAATACATAAGAACTCAAAATATCCGTATTAAAAATTACGAAAATTCTTAAACACTTATTTCCTCGAAAAAATTCCAGAAAGGATTAAGCATGATTTAATTCGCAATAATAAATGAAGGCGTTATTTTTTGTTGTTGCGAAGCTTAGTCTCCCTAGATTGGCAACAAATCTACAATTCTGCTGTTTCAAACGTAAACAAATATGTCCGCCATGTTATTTAAAACTTAACCGCACTTAAACAACTTTTATTGTTGATAATTGTACAAATATTGCTTCCAGAATTACGAAAAGCATAAAAACCTTAACCGGAAGATAAGAACAACATAATTCAATCATTTTTAAAGCAAAAAATGTACAATTTACAAACATATAAGAGTAAAGAAACTGAGATCACTGTGCCGAGTAACAAAGTGGATATATATATAGATATAGTATTTATATACGTTTGGTGCGGCTGATTGCAACCAAAATAGGAGGTGCACATCTACATGTTATAGCAGTCCTATATACAAAATTTCAACGTTCTGAGGCTACTCGTTTTCGAGTTATGCGAGATACGTACGTACGTACATACGTTCGTACCATGGAGGTAGTACATACGTTCGTACCAAAATAGTAACATACCTAACTTTCCTACCTCCATGGTTCGTACAGACGCTACGAAAAATTCTCTTCAGAATTAATTTTAAAGCAGTTTTATCATTTTTTTTGGAGGAAACGAGTATTTTATTCTGTCCTTACGTACAGATATCACGCAAAAACATCGTTAAATTGCATTCGATAGCGGTCAAAATGGATATTTTCGTTGAAATATGCTGCCTGAAACTTTTCGCGATTACAATACTTCCTTTTTACTTCGTACCAGGAAGTAAAAATGAAAGCAAAACATTTGACGTTTCGTACGACAAAAATTAAACAAGATTTTTAATTTCAAAATTCTGGATTTCTGAATTTTTTGGGGGTGTTGTTTTCCTTAAAGGGTCGTTTAAAAATTAATTAGAAAGTTACGAGATTGATTTATTCCTTTAAAATCATTCAATTTAATCAATTCAGTCCTTTAAAGCTATTTTGTAATTCTTAAAAATTACAAAATTGATTTCCCAAATTAAAAAATGCCATATCATGAATATTTTCCTTACAAAAATCGTTTGAAAGTATACGCCTATGACCAACAGTTGCGAATAAAAGGCATTATAATGCTTATTATGGATGCGGCGCATAATTTGTTTTACTGTACATTAGTCTACTTTAATGTCTCCCACATTTAATAAACAGTCTCTTTATTTACCGAATTTTGTCGTCGGTTCTTAGCAATTCGCTAAATCTGAATCCTTCAAGAAAGACTGCTTTCAGAAAGAAATTTAAATACTCTCTAATTTGCAATTTTCTGTTAACTGCTATTAACATCACAGATCTCTCAGACAACATGACTTTTTTTTTTTTTTTTTTCTTGCCTCACGAAGAGGAATCGGATAGCAGTATTCTCATACAAATCTTAACATAATTCATCTACATGATTTTACTCGGAAATACACTGTGAAAAAATTAACTCTTTGTAGTTTTGACGAGAAATCTTGCACGCGATGAGGTCAAAGCCCCATGAAACTCTTAAATGGGCGGTCGCAGAGCAAAAAATAATAATGGATTTTCTAGTTTCTAAAATATGAAAATGGAAAGTTGGTGCTCGCCACAGGCTTTTGTGTGGCCATCGTCGAGGGTGAAACTTAGCTCGATCGTTCAAAGATTTATTTTTAGATCATAACCCATTAATTATGTCGGAAAGGAACTCG